TTACTAGAATACAGATTATTTATACATGTTCTAAACTAAGTGTATAAATCATATAGATCACGTAGCTGCTATGCATTGTGTTCTTCCATTAGCGTTTTTATATTTTCCAAAAGAAACATAGAAAATAATTTCTAATGATATGGAACCCAACAGCATGGCAGCTGGGACAATGACAAGTGAAAACAGAAAAGTACACAATAGTAAATTGTTTGCTCCTTACTTATTTTAGCACTTTTCTAATAATTGTTTTGTATTTGTAATGCGTGTGTGTGTGCGTGTGTGTGTGTGTGTGTGTGTGTGTGTGTATGTGTGTGTGCTTGTCCTTCTGGCGTGGCAGTTGTGTGGAGGTCAGTCTTGTTGACAAGCATCTTTGTCTATTGAGACGTCTTAGTGGCTTTCCACTAGAATTTTTATGCTAAATGTGTACACACACACACACACACACACACACACACACAACTGATTTTCTGAGTTTAGTTAAGAATTTATGAATAGCTACATTGTAATAAATGAACTGGTTACTCTTTCCATTACTTAGGCATTAGGCAACAATTTAGCAAATGTTCTGAATGATAAAAAAAAGAAAGACAGAAAAAGGCCAAACCATTGACAATAGAATAGGTTTTTAGAGTCTGAAGGTGATATCTTTACAGGAAGATAGTAACATTCTAAATTTCAGTAAAAGATAAGTGTGAAGAAGAGATAGAGATGGTCTAAGTAGTCTGATGATTTCAATTGCCAAGTTTAAGTATTCTGAAGCTAGGCTGCTTAAGGAGTCAGGCACCATGATGTATCTACAAAAAAAAGATCATTTAAGTTAGATGGAGTGGCAAGCTTGATGAGACTATAATAACTGTGAATCTATGTGAGACATAGATTCAGAGCTGACAAACTAAAAGCTAGGATGGAAAGGTTTCCTTAAGATTTCCTTTAGTGCTATGAACAGGGCAGAGGCCAGCTTCTCTTGAAGCAGGAAAGCAAGAAGTCCTAAACTTTTGCAGTGAACACCATAAAGGTATTTCACACAATCATCTCAAGGTATGTTTTAAGCATCTCAAAGTTAAAGAGTACTTATTGAGTATGAGTAATGTGTTGAATTCTATTCCAAGCACTTCAACAAAACTAAACAAACCAAAACAAAATAAAGCCCAAACAGGAAAATTTTCAGTGTGATGGTACTAACAGTCTTGTAGACCATTACTATAATAACAATTCTATTTTCTGTTAATTCCATAAACACTTAATGCTCTTAGGGACACACTCTCTCAGATAAGCCTACTCAATAGCTGTGTAGATGTTTCCTTTACAAACAATGATGAAGGTACCAAAAGCCAAGAGAAATAAAATCCAAGCACTATTTGTCACCAAGAACTTGTTGGAAGAACTTCAAATCAATAAAAAAGGTTTTTCCTCAACATCCTATTTTTTTTCAAGACTACAATAAGTTCAACACAAATGTCAAATTTGGCCAGGCAGTGGTGGCACGACTTTAATTCCAGCATTCAAGAGACAGAGGTAGGTGGATCTATCTAATTTCTAGGCCAGCCTGGTCTCAAGAGCAAGTTCCAGGAGCTGAGAAACCCTGTCTCAAAAAACAAAACAAAACAAAGTGCAAGAGGAAAAAAAAAAAAAACAAGAAAAAACACAATGTCAAATTTTATCCTGACAAAAAACCACTGAACCTCAGCCTGGATCAGCATGATAAAGAGGGGTTACCTTCTAGGATTTTGGTATAAAATACAAGGATCAAAATGGAAAGAACTTCAAAACTCACTTATATTTTGGAACCATGCTAGGAATATCAATTGATCAATACTTTTGAAATTATTAGAAAATAAATGAACAAAATTGCCCTTATCTCCTATGAAGTACAGGGGTGAGAACAGAACACCAGTTAGGTTTTATTTATATTATCCTCTCTGGTATAATAACTTTGTTTCCCCCATCAGCACTAATTGATCAGGGTCATCTGGACAAAAAACAGGGAAACATTGGAAGTAAATGATGACATAGATTACGTAGATTTAGCAGATTTCTATAATATTTTACCCCAAACACCAAAGAATATACATTCTACTCAGAAGCACATGGAAGCTTCTCTAAAACACACCCTATCCTAATACAAAAAATGGGTGTATTATCCATGGAGCACACAAGAGGTTGCCTTTGCAAACTATGTATCTGGCAGGACATTAACATCCAGAATATGTAAATAACTCAAAGTACAAAGAGTCAAAAAGCCCCAAAATCAATTAAAATGGGGCTGAGACCTAAATATTGAGTTCTTAGAATGGCAAAAATAAACAAAACAAGTGACAACAAATGCTGCAGGGAGTGTGGTAAAACAAAACACTCATTCATTGCTGGTGGGATTGCAAACTGGTGAAGGCCCTCTGGATACCAATGTATGGACTTTATAGAAAGTTAAAAAATAAATCTACCATATGAACCAGTTATATCATTCTTTGGCATATGCCCAAAGGACTCAACATCCTACTCCGCAGATACTTACTCCACCATGTTTTCTGCTGCTGTATTAGAATATCTAGGAAATGGAGGCAATCTAAATGTCCTTCAACCAAAGAATGGATAAAAAATTGCTATACATGTATACCATTAATCTGCAAAGAAAAACAAAGTCATGGGATTTTCCAGACAAATATATGGGACTAGAAGAAAGGGTGAGGAAATAAAGATCCAGACAGACATCTCTCATGTTCTCTCCCATTGAAGATTCCTAGCTCCTAATCTTCAGATTAAGGATGTAGCATAGTGTAACCACGTAAACAAAGAAAGTAAAAAGGGACCAATAATGGAGTATGGTGGAAGAGCAATAGAGAGCGGCATACCTGAGTACCAATGATCTGATGGGGAAAATAGACAAAAGAGAGACTTTAATTAGGGAGGATTGAGTTAGACAAATGCAGGAGGGAAGAAGATAAAATAACACTAAGGATGTCTTAAAAATTCATAATCCATCATTTTAGCTATTCCCCTAAAGCATGTATAATTATATTTAAATTGATATACAAACACACACATATGTACATATATATATATATATATATATATATATATATATATATACTTTCATTATAATTTTATTCTTTGGGATGACACTACTCTCATCCACAAGAGCCAAGACCACCTAACAAAACCCCCAACACTAGGCATAATAGGCCCTGTATTTAGTTGTTAGAGATGTCCATGAAAAGGGACTCCTAAAATATTATAGACTATTGCTATAGACTTTGTTCCAACCCTGTGAGTCGAGACATGGTTCAGAAAAGGATTAGTGTGAGAATTCTGAGTGCTTGTGAAAACAATCCAAGAAAATAAGGAAAGAGTCCTGTGACCGCAGATTAAACAAGGTAAGAGTCTTGTGACCTCAGTTCCTTTGAAATATGGCATTATTCTTGGAATATGTTTCATGCTCCTTCCAGGTGTCATAAATATAAAGTTTACTTCATATTGTTTATTGTTGCTTACTATTGTTATTCAATTAATTGTTTAATGCCTCTATAGAAAAACACAATTTTGCCCATGCGGTTTGTTCTTGTGACTGTATACAGTTTAAACTCACAAGAACTTTAATCATGTGATTTTTCCTAACACCCAGAATATAATATAAATTGTACAATGCTCTGAATAACAGTTGTCTATTGCATAAAACTTTAGTCCACTTACTTATCAGCTTAATTCTCCCAGGTCCCACCACCTCTAGAAGTGATGCCTGAGATGAAAATGTTAGGTCCCTGTTGCAGAAGACAGTGTACACTTTGGACACAGGCTTTAGAGGCCCTGAATTTGATCTGTTCTGAAAGTTGAGTATTTGATTTATGGTACCAGAATGCTTTCAAAGGAGGAAAGCAACCAACAGTCCTACACAGCTTTGGGTCTATGAATCACATTAATGACCAACACAAGCACTCTGAATTTTCACACAACTCCATTCCTGGACTGTGTCTTGACACTCAGGGTTGCAACAAGTTCCATAGAAATAGTCTATAATACTTTGGGAGTCTCCTCACATGGACATTTCTTACATAATAACCTTAAGGATTCAAAGTAAAACCATAAACATTAATAGAGTTAATAGAAAACAAAAACATTCATCTTTTTGGGTCTGGGTTATCTCACTCAGGATAGTGTTTTCTATTTCCATCCATTTGCATGCAAAATTCAAAATGTCATTATTTTTCTTTTTTTACCGCTGAGCGGTACTCTAATGTGTATATATGTCACACTTTCTTTATCTAGTTTTCCATTGAGGGACATCTAGTTTGTTTCCAGGTTCTGGCTATTACAAATAAAAACATATATAGATCCTCCTGGAAATTGGAAGCAAACAAGATTGCTGGGCAAAAGTTGGGAGCATGGGGGTGGGAGTGGGGTTGGGGAAAAGGGAGAGGGGGAGAGAGAAGGGAGAAAGGAAAGACTGGAGAAAAATACCCAGGTGTGAAAATTTAAACTAAATAAGTCTTTTAAAATAAAAGGTAATGCTAGGGGCGGCCAGATGGTTCAGTAAGTAAAGGTGCTTACAGTCAAGTATTATAAGCCTGAGTTTGTACCCAGAATGCACACAGTCAAGGGAGAAAACTGACTCCTGTAAGTTGTCCTCTGAGTTCCATGTGCTCACTTGGCAAGTACACACAAGCATACTAAATAAATAAGATATAGTATTAAACTGCCAACTCTTCATAGTGTACTATTATACACATAAATCAATGTATCTCTTAACTGCCATCTGAGAAAATTCTGTTTGCAGCAGAGAGAGAAGGACGCAATGACCCACAACTGTGCAAGGCACATGAACTAATAGGTTGCAGAATGCTCGTCACCCTCCCAAACCTCGAGGATTATGGAAGAGAAGGTAGACAACATAGCTCACTACATTTAGTGTAGTAAGTCAGTCACTGTGTAGCTGTTACGAACAGTACTGTGTGAAAAGGATTGTGCATTTTCTTCAGTGTGAAAGTTCACGTGCATTTTTCAGGAAGCCAACGATGGAAGACATTGTACAGAACCCATTGGATGATGGGCATGGGATAACAGAAATACCGACTTTAGAAGCCACAAAACAGCATCTCGACTACCTGAATTTGAACCTTGAAAAGGATCTGCAGAGGCTGGACGAGGCCAATCAGATTCTTCTCAGACAGATTCAAAAGAAAGAGAAATCTATTCAAAGTATTGAAAGAGAAATTGCCTTGTCCTCTGAGAGAGTCCCAGAGACGGATGAGTTCACTGAGATTGCAATACAGAAGGAGAACGCCCTGAAGGACCTGGAGCTGGAGACAGCAAAGCTGGAGGAAAAGAATACGACCCTAAGGGAGAAAATCATGCAACTTCAGGATAGGATTTCAACAGAACTTAAGAATCCTAGCCATGATCCAGAAACCCTGAAAAAGAAAATAGCAGAATTGAAGGTGAAACTACGAAAGTCAACCAAGTCCTGTGCACAACAAGAGAAGGAAATAGCCAAGATGCAAAGTGACTACTAGTCTGTACATGAGCTCTGTGAAGACCAGGCCCACTACATAAAGAAATACCAGGAAATTCTGAGGGAGATGGAGAAGGAACAAGAAGTGATGCTGCTTGAAAAAGAAATGTCCAAAGCCCAGAATGACTCTTCCCAAAAAGTAAAACCTGGGGCTACTTTGGTAGAGACCATTCAGAGCAACATGGAGAAGAACATCATTAGGAAGCAGAAGAGGAAGTTTTTGGTTAGGCACTTCCACTACCTCTTCTTCATGATCGTGGTCTTCCTTCGGATACTGGGTTGCATGATCTTCCACCTGCAGTATATAAACCCGGACTTCCTCGTGGACACTCTGCCCATGCTGATGAGCAGAAGCATGTTGAAGTGGCTGAGGGACATACTGTTCCCCTTCCTTACACTAGAGGTGGAAGACGTTCTACCACACTAGTGGCAGGCGACCCGCCAGGCCTCCCATTGTGCCCGCAATGGAGGGGCTGTGGCTATGGCCCTGAGTTGGTGGTGTGGGGCAGGAAGGAAATGGTGGTGACTCAGGGTCTCTATGTGACAGCTGAGTTTTATATGTAATTCTCTCCTAGAGGGTCTCTCTGCGAATACAGAATGCATTTGATCAGAGTTTACTGTGTTGCTCTGTGCATCCTGAGGCCTTTCTATGTAGTCACAAATTCTATGTTCTCTTCATACAAAGCAAAAATAAAAACTCCCCTGGGAAAAAAGAAAACAAAAACAATAAAATAAAAGACAGCATTTAATAAAATAAATTAATAAACTTCCAGCCACATTAAAAAGAAGTCACAAATTTCTAATGTCAAATATCAAATAAGCCATCAATAATAATTATTTGTAAACAGTAAAATAAAGGAATACTTTGAACATTGCTATGTCCAAATGTTAATAATACAGATTAACTAAATTTGTTGTTTGAAATATGTTTAAATAAATATATGAATAAAAGGACATCTAGATCAAAGTATTTCCACATAAGAAATTATACACTTAATAAAGTTAATAAAATCCTAAACACCTACAGACCAAATGATGTAGAATTTGTAGAACAAGAGAACTCCCCATTTTTAGTGTTGATGTAAAAACTATACAGCCTTCTTGGAAGACAGTTTGATAGTAACTTATAAAATCAAAATACTCTTATCATACTATTCAGCTACTCAAATCCTCAGTGTTTACATTATTTGAAAGTTATGTCCATACAAAATCTGCATTCAAATTTTGATAGCATTTTTATTCATAATTGTCAAATTATAGAATAAGTCAAGATGTTCTTCAACAGACGAACGAATAAAAATGTCTGAAACATCCATAAAGTTGATTAATATTTAGTGATAAAAATAAACAAGCTGCTAAGCTGTGCATATGAATAAGTGGAAGTAGTCTATTTGAAAGAAGCTAAATACTGGATGTTTCAAAAGATAATACTATTAAAGCCATTTAGAAAGACAATGTGGCCAAGGATATGGAAAGATAGATGAATAAGTGAACAAACAGAAATCTGGATATAGGGAAAGTATATCTTTTTTATTTTTTAAAATAATCTTTTTATTTTACATAACAATCCCAGTACCCCCCTCACTTTCTCCCCACTCCACCCCCACCCACTCCACTCAGGATTTCAGGGACTCTGGACTGTTGCTGGGGAACCTGCAAAGGACTGAACTAGAACCTCTGAACGTGAATGACACTTGTGTGACTTGGACAGTTTGTGGGTCCATGAGAAGTAGGATCAGGATTTATCCCTAGTGCATGAACTTGTTTTTGAAGCCCATTCCCTATGAAAGGATACCTTGCTCAGCTTAGATATAGTGGGGAGGTTCTTGGTCCTGCCTCAACCTAATGTGAAAGCATCTTTTAAGACAACATTCATATCATAAATTCTTTTCCAAAAAGATTTTTATTTTTAGTTTACATATATAAATGTTTTGCCTGCATATATGTAAGTGTACTGTGTGTTTACTATTCCTAGTGAGGTGTCTGGATACTCTGGAACTGGAGTTACAGATGGTTGTGAGCTTCCAGGTGATGGGCACTAAACCCAGGTATTCTGTAATAGATAATATGCTATAAGCCTTCTCTCCATTCCTCTCATACATTTTTTGACCAAAAATCACAGAATATTTAAAGTTAAACATGGATTTCACTTAATACAAATGCATTAATATTAGCTCATTTATTGTAACACAAATATTCTGTCAATCAAAGGTATCAGTATAAAATGACTGTGTAGAGTTGTAACAATAAAGACTCCTTAAGCAGTTCTCCTAAATTTGAGGTAAATGTGAAACTACTCTGAATATATCTATGAATTTTAAAGTCATCGGATGAGACTGGATGCATTTAGAGTGGTATGAGGGAACAGGTAGGATCATATGGGGTCAGGAGGGATGGAGGGAGTGAGTATGGGTAGGGACAACTGGAATAGGCATTTAGGGGCTGCTGTAGAAAATAAGCTCCAAAGGAATTTTAGAACTAGAGAATCACCTTACTGTAACCCCTAAATAATTAACATCACCTATAAAGGTGGTGTCTCTAACATCAAAATGAAGGAGATAAGACAGTTCTTCCTAAAGAAATCAACAGTACTAACTGCACAGCACAACTACCGATTAAACCAAAGAGACTCATAATTGTACAGAATTCTTTGGTAAAGATTTTAGTGATTACTAAAATGAAGTGATCACAAAATGCTGGAAAATCTACCAGTAATTTATATTACACTGGGCTTGTATGGAAAATGTTTGCATCCTTAGCCATCAGGAAAATCAAAATCAATACACAATATTTAGAATTTATCTCATCTCTTGAATGAGAGAAAATGGATAAATTGTTTGTGGGGATGTAAATCAGTCTAAGCACAATGGAAATCAGAAAAACAGTTTAACAAAACACAGAGGTACTGTATTAAACACTTTCACAAATTCTACCAACATAAAAAAATTAACTCAACTGATCATGAGGGCAATTCTCTAAGATTAACATGACACTTCAACAATAAACAAATAATGCAATAAAGTTAGGTAATTACCACCAGATAAACAGAAATACAAAGTAAATGCACATATATATATAAGCATACACAATAAAGTTTTACTCAGCTTTTAAGAAGAAAACTATGTATGTGATTTGCGGGAAACTGGATGTAACTAGATGATTATCTTGTCAAGCAAAATGATCCAGGAACATTTAAAAGGGAAAGTGTCATCTGTTCTTTCTCAGATAACAATTTTTACCACAAACTGAAAGCCTAATAAAGTTTCATAATAAAAAGGAGTTATTAAGTCTTGCAAAAATATGAAAAATTAATCCCCAATAGAATTAGTGTTTACTCACCAGAGAAGAAAATATATCAACTGACCTTATACTTTTATTACTTACTGCCTCACTTGGGGCTGTGAATGCCAACAAAACTCACCCTGCTTCCTCGCTGCCCCATGATTGAAATCAATCATGGAATGGTTAAAGGAATAAAGGAAAAACTCTCAAAGTCTGTATGGAACTAGAATCTATGAATGAATGTGCCTTAAATGAAAGTATGTCTGTAACCTGTGATAAAAGATGACACAATTGACTGGAAAGAACATTTTCAAGTCTGGCCTGTTTCATCTACAGCAGATCATTTTTTTTTACTTCCTTAGTAAAGGAATGTAAGGTAGTAACTGCACCTGCTATTATTAATGGAGTCACTAGGACAGCATAAATGTTGGAGTTTGCTGACGAACTGTGTGAGTCCAATGAAAGTTGTAAACTTCTTGAAGTCTGTTTAGTAGAAGAGACCTACCAGTATTTTTTTATAATACTGACAGAAAATGCCTACAGGGATGAAACTGGAGCAGCACTAACATCTGAGAATGGTAGTAATTCACCCCTGAAAATTTTGAACATTCCATTATGTCAGTGAACAGAGGACCTAGATATACTTGTCTGGTTAAGGAGGCTCCTCTCTTACACCTTAGAGAGTCTGCTGGATTATGGTTGGAGGAAATGGACAATTTCATATGAGAAAACATATAATTTCCATGCCTAGACAGTAGTATAATGAACTGAAATGAGGATAGAAAAGAGCCGTATTTAAAAATACGTAACACTCATTCTCCTATCCTGTCTCTACCTTGAACTACCTTTATCATCCAGGCCAGATAGGCATAGCTGGATGAACTATACCAACATTTCATATCAGAAGTCTCAGTGACAAAAGTCATAATAAAGGCAAGTACCTGAGCACCTACAATGAAGGTGAAAAAGTTAATGAGATTTAAGTATGATGTTACACACCTGTAATTCTGGAACTCATGAAGCAGAGGTAGACTGACTTTCAGTTTAAGTCTACCATATGCTACAAAGAAGTGCCTCATAGTAAAACTCATTGACAAAGCTTATATTTTTATTATATGCGAACAAACAAGATTTGCTGTAAATGAGCTATACCAGCAATCTAGAGCATTTAGAGATCAAGGCCAACTGTATAAAATTAGAAAAACCCAGGGTAGTGTGAGCACATAGCAATACGAGGCAGTGCAATGGTAGGGAGTGGAGACTGAGAAAAGAGGTAGGGTAGAAGAAGAAAAGAGACTATAAAGGAAAGGAAAAAGGGATGGAGTTGAAGGTGGGGAGAGGAAAGGAGACAAAGGGGAGAAAGGTGAAGAAGAGTGGAGAGGGAGGTAAAAAGGAAAGGTGAAGTAGGTGGAGAGGGGAAGAGAAAGAAAAAAATGAGAGAAGTAGGGCAAGGTGGGTAAAGAAGGGAGCCCAAGTAAGGAGACCTGTAGGTAAAGGAGGAGAGGGGAAATGGAGAGGAGGGGGGAAGAGGAAATGAATATTAGGAAGAAAGAGATGTGGAGGGGAGAAAAGGGAAGGCAAAATAAGAAGGGAGATGAGTAAAGAGGGGAGAGTGGAGGAAAGGAGGAAAGGTTAGGTTAAAGCAAGTGAAGGAAGTATGTAGGGAAGGCAGGGTTTTTAGAGGAGAAGAGGAGAGAAGTTAAGGAGTGGGAGGGAAGGAAAAAGGCTGGGAGAAGTGGAAAGGAGAAGTCACTAGGCTAAAAGAGGTGAGAGGTAGATAGGGAGTAAGAAACAAGAGACAAGGGAGGGGAGAGAAAAGAGTGGTAGAAAGGGGAGATGAGAAGCCTGAACTAGAAACAGCCACAGAGGAAGGGAGGGAAGGGGAAGAGATGAGATTGGGGGAAAAAAAACAAAGGAGTATTAACAGTAGTGAAGGGAAGCAAGACAAATAGAGGTGATGGGAAAGAGCTAAATAAGGATGAACAATAACTAACTAGAAAAGACAAGCATCAGGAAACTCCCTCATATGGAAAAAAGGAAAGCAGAATAATACCCATGGAGCTTTATTTACAGAATCACAGGAACAGAATGGGAAGGATGGGAAGGTGAAGATTACTTCCCATCGCTTTTGTGTTCAGAGGTCTACAAAAAGAGAAGGGGAGGGACCTGAAGTTGAAGATTACATCATTCCCTAATCAGAGGTCTGCAGGAACAAAATGGGCAGGAAAAGAGTTTCAAATTACTTCACTGCTGAGTTCTACTCAGACATCAACAAAAAGAGAACGAGAGGAAAAAAATAGAAAGGTCCGAAACTTGATGAAGTTCCGGACTCTGTTCAGAAGTCCACATTAACAGAAGGTGAGGGGCCGGAAGTTGAGATGACCTCACTTCCGGAATCTGTTCAGAAGTCCACAGGAACAGAAGGAGAGAGTCAGGAAGTTGAGGAGGTACTCCATTCCGGGCACTGTTTAGAATTCCAGGGAATAGAAGGGGAGGGGCCGGAAGTTGAGGAGGTCCTCCCTTCCCGGCTCTGTTCAGAAGTCCACAGGAACAGAAGGAGAGGGGCCAGAAGTAGAAGATATACTCCTTTCCGGGATCTGCTCAGAAGTCCAGGGAATGGAAGGGGAGGGGCCGGAAGTTGAGGTTGACCTCACTTCCTGGATCTGTTCAGAAGTCCACATGAACAAAAGGGGAGGGTCAGGAAGTTGAGGAGGTACTCCATTCCTGGCACTGTTCATAATTCTAGGGAACAGAAGGGGAGGGGCCGGAAGGTGAAGCTGACCTCACTTCCGGGACCTGTTCAGAAGTCCACGGGAACACAAGGCGGGGGGCCAGAAGTTGAGGATGACCTCACTTCCAGACTCTGTTCAGAAGTCCATGGTAACAGAAGGGGGGGCCAGAAGTTGAGGATGACCTCACTTCCGGACTCTGTTCAGAAGTCCACAGGAACAAAAGGGGAGGTTCAAGAAGTTGAGGAGGTACTCCATTCTGGGCTCTGTTCATAAGTGCAATGGAACAGAAGGGGAGAGTTCAGAAGTTGAGGATGACCTCACTTCCCGGACCTGTTCAGAGTCCAGGGAACAGAACATGAGGGGCCGGAGGTTTAAGTACTCCATTCAGGGTTCTGCTCAGAGTTCGTGGTAACAGAAGGGGAGGGTCCGGAAGTTGAGGATGACCTCCCTTCCAGGCTCTGTTCAGGGTTTAGGGAACAGAAGGGGAGGGGCCAGAGGTTGAGGATGACCTCCTTTCCGGGCTCTGTTCAGAAGTCCACGGGAACAGGAAGGGAGGGGCCGGAAGTTGAGGATGTACTCCCTTCCCTGCTCTGTTCAGAAGTCCACAGGAACCAAAGGGGGGGGGGGCAGAAGTTGAGGATGACCTCACTTCCGTGCTCTGTTCATAAGTGCACAGGAACAGAAGGGGAAGGGCCAGAAGTTGAGGATGTACTCCCTTCTGGGCTCTGTGCATAAGTGCATGGGAACAGAAGGGGAGGGACCGGAAGTTGAAGATGATCACACTTCCGGGATCTTTTCAGAGTCCAGGGAAGAGAACTGGAGGGTCCCGAGGTTTAAGTACTCCATTCAGGGCTCTGCTCAGAAGTCCACGGTAACAGAAGGGGAGGGTCCGGAAGTTGAGGATGACCTCCCTT